CCAAATTTATTAATAAATCATTGGTTAGAATTGTTCGATTTGAGATTCTCCGAAACTATACAACATGTCTTTGAAAAAAGTATAAACTGAACTTGTTAGAATTGACACCTTTTTCATGAAACAAATGTAGAGGATATAAGATGTCATTATTTATAGGGTCAATTTGGTGTATAACCAAAAAAAATTATAATTTAAAAGTAAATAATAGTGGTGTATGTGGCAAAATCATGACCATTGGATGATGGGTTTTTGATTGCTTTTTAAGTTATAATTTTTTTTTTGATTATACAGCAAATTAACCCTTATTTATATATGTAGTTGTAGTTTCTCTTAGTGCATGAATTTAGTTTTTTATTATTAGCTTTTGGGTCATTATATTTTGAATAATATATTTTTTAGGTTTATGTTGTATAAAACTCTCTTATTCATTAGATATCCTTTCAATAACATAAGATTTGGAGTAAAAACAAAGATGAAATCAATTTTACTTTATATAAGTAACAAGAAATTCTTATATCCACTATGAAAAATATTTTAGATCCATTTATATTCTAATTTGGGCGCTTCTTTACCATGTGTGAAATAAATTCCATCTTTTCTCGCATCCCAAAAATTCTTCTTACCATGATCAAATACACCACTGGCACCTTCATATGCTTTAATCGTTACATGAGGGACGTGAGGTGCTCCAAACCAAAATAAATTACAATAAATTCTGTTTTTTGGAACGAATTGACCATGAAAACTGAAACTATAAGTTTGTCCAGGGGCCACAAAAAAGCCACCTAAATATTTATTATTGAATTTACAAACAGCTTGGAAATTGTTGCCCGGACCAAGAGAGTTCGTAAAATATAAGTAGTTTTTCCCAAACAATTTTGCGCTGCCCAACCCAACACACAAAGCCATGACAAACAAAAAGCACAAAAATCTATTCATCGTTCTAATTTTAACTGATGTGGTTTTGTTGTTAGGGATGATATGTCTCTAAGTTAGACTATGCCAAAATATATATATATATGCAAAAAGTAAGAAACTCGTATGGAAATTGATGGAAAAAGTGGGGATTTGGTTTGTGATCGTTGATCATATTAAATTTTGGTTTGTTATTCTATATGGAAGTATTCTAAATTATCTTTAATCTTTTAAATAGATTTTGAACTAAAAATGTATGTAACCATTACCAAATTCCATCATTTTTAATAACTTTTCTTATTTTTGTTTTTATCTTATTAATTCTTTATAGTACCAAAAAAAGGTTAAAACATTTATTATTAAAAATAAGATTTTTGTCATTTACATTCATAGACACTTTTAAGGATTTGTAAACAATATAGATATTTTTGAACTTTATTATCAATAAAGCTATGTTTTTTTAGTAAAATATTTTTTTCACTGTAACAAAATATTCAATACAATACTAGCCGAGAGAGAGATCGCCACCACAAACTACGAGGTGCTAGAGTTGTAACAAGAAAGTGGGATTGTTGGGGTTTACGCATAAGTGTGGAACAGTGGAAGCACATTTTGTAGATCCCATAGATATTTCGGAGAATAATGAATGCAATTTTGATTTTTGAGGAGAATGGAGATATGCAATTGGCTATATATTGTGCTATAATATATCGATAGCTCTAGTTATGGTTTGATTGCTCTAGGAAAATGCTAGA